ACTTAACCATATATGCTGAGGGAGAGATACAGAAACAGAGCGACAGTGCCAGAATCAGTTTTAGTTGATCTCTTCAGCATTCATGGTCAATTACATTCTTTTTGACTTCCTTGAGTCTTCCTTTGCTTCATGATAAGACATTAAGAAGTAAGAGTTATGTAGTGGTATGATCACCTTCCAATAAATGCATACTTATGTGTGCATGTCTTTCATAAGTATTTTCCCCAATCATCATCAGATTTCTTGCAAACTAAATTTTTATTGTTTTTGTTTTCTTCTACTTGAGCATAAATTGTGGCTATTACCTTTATCCTAATCAATAGTTTTATCACATGTTATGGAAAATAAACTTTGCATCTAATGCTTGCTAAAATCTGCCTGATCTCTGATAGGCTAGTTCATTTTAAAGAGACTCTAGGTTCTTTGCAATTCCAACTATTTAAAAATACTGTGCTATATTTTATAGGGAGTTTAACAGACTCCTTACACACTGGATGGACTAGAGTGGGGAGAAATGTGTAGAGGTACACCATCAGCAAGTTGTTGCAATAGTCAAGGCATCAGGTGATGAGGCAACAGGGAGGTGGCAGTATCAGAGTGCACAAGGTCATGCTCAAGAGCTGTTGAAAAGGTGCAATTAACAGGCCTTGGCAACAGATTGGATGTAGGGGATGAGAGATAATGAGGAGTTAAGGATGACATCAAGATTGGGAGCCTAAGGGATTAGGAAGGTGGTGTGCCCTCAACAGTAATATGGAAGTTAGGAAACAGGGAGAATTTAGGGGGGAAGATAATGGATTCAGTTTTGGACATGTTGAATTTAAGATGTCTACTGTATATCCACTTCAAGATGTCTGAAAGCCAGTTGGAGATGTGAGACTAGAGGTCAGCAGAGAAGTTAATGCTAGATAAGATGATTTGAGATTCATCAGCACAAATTTAATATTTAAAAAAATGTAAGCTAATGAGATCACTAAGTGGTACAGTGTGTGTGTCTGTGTGTCTGTCTGTGTGTATGTGTATGTGTGTGTGTGTGTGTACGTGAGAGAGAGAGAGAGAGAAACAGAGACAGAGAGAGACACAGAGAGAGGCAGAGGCAGAGACACACACACACACAGAATATATGAGTAGAGGCAGCATGAAAAAGTGGATAGAATAGCAAGCTTGATATTGGGAAGACTTGGGTTCAAATGTCAGACACAGACAGTAGCTGTGTCTCCCTTGTCAACTCATTTATCATCTCTTGCTTTCAATTTTTTTCTATGTAAAATGAGGGGGTTGGATTAATATCCTCTGATGTCCCTTGAGTTCTCATTTTCTGACTCTGATACATCATATTCTGCCCAAACAACATGAAAATGCATCACATTTCAATAACCACCAATGTAAAGCCTCATAGTATTTATTATGTGTAAGTCAAATTTAACATTCAGGAAAACATCTAGTGGAGAAAGGGATATTGTTTATTTTATTTTCCCATCAACTTCTTGTATTTGGGATGTGAAGGGTCCTAGACTTTATCACAATAACCAGTTACACTGTGCAAAAGTTAAATGAGTTAAAAACATATAGCCAATGAAGGATATATTTTTCTTTCTATAAAACCAAATAATTTTCCTTCCTACCAAAACTTAGAGTGAATAGGAACTCACCAGAGTGATCCATTTTGTATTTTTCTTCCCACAAAAAACAATGAATAAGGTAGAATTTCTAGTCCAACAGCACTAGATTTTCTTCTCTTTTTGTCCTCTTTCTTTTGTGAATAGCTAAGTGAATGCATGTTATTATCTTTGTGGGGCAGCATGATGTAGTGGTGAAGGTGCTGGGACTGGAGTCAGGAAGAGTTAGTTAAGTTCTAATTTTACCTCTGATATTTAGTAGCTGTATGACTATGTATAAGTCCTTTAACCTATCTGGCTTTCATTTCCTCATCTGTAACATGAGGGAGATAATGCATCCAATATCTAGGACACAGGGGATAGCTTCTTGATGAGGGTGAAAGAGGAGAGAGTGTAAAAGCTGCCTTGAACTTTACATTAAAAAAATAATAAAATCATGGCAACCTGTCCCATCATGACTTCCTAGCAAATAGAGGAAAAAGAAATGGAAGAAGTGTCAGAATTTATATTCTTGGGCTCAACAGTCATGTAAATGGCAACTGCAGCCATTTAAGAGGCATTTGCTCTTTGGAAGGAAGGCTATGGCAAATCTGGATAGCATAGTAAAAAAATAGACATCACCTTGCTAACCAAGTCAAAGCTATGGTTTTTCCAGATGTAATCAATTCCTGTGAAAGCTGGACTAAAGGGAAAGCTGAAGTGCCACAGAATCAACATTTTTGAATTGTGGTCTTTGAGAAGACTTTCTAGAGTCCCTGGGACAGCAAGGAAATTGAATCAGTCATACTTAAAGAAATTAATTCAGATTACTCATTGGAAGGACAAATATTGAAGCTGAAGGTTAAATACTTCAAGAAGACAGGTCTCATTGGAAAAGATCCTGATGTTGGGAAGGATTGAAGGCAAAAAGGAAGAGGATGGCAGAGGATGGTAGAGTTGGATTGGTAATGTCTTCGAAGCAATGAACACCAGCTTGGACAGACATTGGTAGATAGTGGAGGACAGAAAGGCCATGGTCCATGGGGTCACTAAGAGTCAGATACAACTGAATGACTGAACAACAACAAAAGTATAGAGTATCTACTATATAGCACACAGTACTGTAAAATGCTTATTATTAGTGACTTGAGGACATAGAAGCACATCTACATTTTCTGACTTTAGATGGGCCTTATGGAGACTTTGTATCTAGTGTCTATGTACTGGAATCTGTAAAGCATTTATAGGAGAGAAATGTTAAGCCCTGCTCATTACATTCATATTTGTTCCTTTGAGAATTTAATGCAAAGGCTACAGCTAATGTCTGTGCTGATTCATGTAATGCATGCCAGGAAAGAGGTTTGGAGATGATTTAGTAGAGGTACTTTAGATCAGATGTAATGACAGAGCTAATACACACACACACACACACACACACACACACACACACACACACATATGTGTATATATGTATGTATATATATATATAATGTACATAAGTATATGTGTGTGTACATATATATGTGTATGTATGTATATATAGATACATATATCTGAAACCAACTCTGGAATTCATATCTGGCTTGTTCACATCTCATCTCTGTTGGCAGTTATTAGATTATATATAAACTGCCAGGAGAAGAATAGTTCCTGCAAACCAAATTGCATACAATGTATATAGTGGCTAGCATGGTTTTCATAGAATTGCCATTCAATAAATGCCTAATGATGACAGATTGAAGGTGAAAGTGGTCAGTTTCCACTAGTTCATCAAATGAACTACTATACTTTTGACTTTTCTATTTTTTATTGCACATTAAAAAAAATAAATCTAGAGAGTGTAGACAGGAAGGAAGAAAAAAAAAGACTGAAATTGATAATCACTTTGACCACTCCCCCTACCCCCTCCAAAAAAAAAAGTTGAGGGTAATATACATAGGTCAGTTTAAACATTATGGTACACAAAGAGAGATTAGCTGGTTTTTGTTTCTTTTTTAATGGCAGGCAATTTCCAACTTTCATAGAATCAGAACTTGAATGGACTTTGGATGCCATCTAGATCAATCCTTTATCACGTTATAGATAAAGAAAAAAAGGCCCAGAGTAGTGAAACGAGATAGATGCTCTAAGTTATACAGCCTGTAACTAGTGCCGTTTCTAAAAAGTAGCCATACACTAGTAAAACCATCTCAGCAGAGAGGCTAGACTAAATTGAGGGTAACCAACATACCTCAAACCCATCGGTGAGTTTCTCAGATGTCCAATCCAAGCATGTGGAGACTTCTCCCAGCAGAATGGGCAGATGAAAACAATTTGTTCCAATGGTCAAGAAGGAAGCTGAAGCAGATACTGTGGAGTGCTTAGAGCTTGGTCAGTCATCAAAGAGACCAAGGTCATCCAGTGCATTTGGGCCATTGCCAGTTGTATTGACTTTTTGTCTTACCATTGAACTTCAATGACTCTGGAAGAGAAAGTGAAGCTGGCATCTTTGCTCTGCCTCACTTAAATCTGATTTGCATACAAGTCAAAAAGTCAACCTGTGACTGGTCCTCTTCGAAAATGAAGTATGAACAACACAGTGCCATCAGGGTTTGATCCCAGGTCCTTTGACTTAAAATCCAGTGCTCTTTCAACATCAAAATAATGTCTTTTCTGGCTCACTTTATTTTCAAAAGCTTGTATGTATCTCATCTCCAACAAAACATCAAGAACCACAACACATTTCACATTTTTAATGAACTGAATTTACCTTTAATCCCACTTTTAAAAGTTTGGATTATTTTCCTTGAAAGCAGGTAACTTAAATTCAGTTTCTCCTGGGACCCTATGATCATCAGTAAAATTGACTATTCCATAATACTAGTATATTTAGAATGGAGCTTTGATCATGATTTAATTGATCAAAGTTTGTCATTCTAATTTTCTAGCACTATTTCACTTTAATTTTAATCATAAAGTTAATTTTTCAGTTGCAATCTATTGGATTATAATAACCTATCATAAAATGTTCATTCATGTGAAGTTCAAATGAATTCAACAAACATTTATTAAGGGATTACTGTATGCTAGACACTATATGAGGTGCTGAGTTTACAAAAATAAAAATGAAAAAATCCCAGCCTGTGATAAGCTTATATTCTAATTAGCTGTAGTTTAATTTGGAGCTAATTAAAAAAAAAAGCTTTGCTTCCTCATAAATTTCATTACCTTTTACTTTTTATTGTAGTATAAAGAATCTTGGAACAAATATTTAAAACAGTGGGAATTAGGGGAACTGCAAAAAATGTAACTGTTTTCTTTTCCGTAAACATTTCTCCATGCCACAGTTTGAAGCAGAGCAGTATTTTAAGCAGTATCGTTTTCACACTCTCTTAATCATTATCACATTTTCTTTTTGCTTAGGTGAGAAGTCTGATGAGCACCACTGGGATCTGAGGAGCAAGTAAGAATTAAAATTATACTGTGCTTTTTTTCCTCTCTTTTTAAAGAAAATCCTATTTTTCAAAGAATTTCTTTGTCATTGTGAGTTATGTTTGTTTATAAAAATTGTTAGTGATTTGTTATGAAATTTGAAGCATGGACATAGATTTCATGTGCCACTGGAGCTTTCAGACTTGGTCAACTTTAAAAATATTATGTGAGGTATGTTTACTATAAAATTCTGTGGATTGAAAGCAAAAAATATCACATTTAAAATAACAAATATTGGAGTGAAATTTCATGCCAGAGGATTTCTGAGGTTTAGTGTGATATTATTCATTATTCTTGCATTAGGGGTTAAAAATATATCTGAATTCCCTAGGAAAGTTTTCCTTAGGAATTGTTGGAAATGGAAGATGACCAAAATAGCCTTTGTCTTTCTAAATGTGTTTGTAGATCAGGGTCATGATTGGTTTTCCTTTACTAAACTCTGCTCTCGGTCGTGCTAATCACTATCTTCAGATGAAGAAGAATGGACAAGCAAGTCCATAAAAAACCACTACTATAATTGGAACATCAGCACCAAAAATGCTGCCCACTTGGGTTGGAATGTCTTCTGGAAACTCCCCATCATTGCCACTAACTTCAATGATTCTATGCTGATTTAGGGAAAATTGGTTAGTTACTAAGGGAATTTATGCTGATATAAGGAGAATGAAAGATGATGGCAGACATAGGAGAACTGACATGAGTGAAGAAGGAATAAGGGAAGAGGGAAGGGAGATTGTCAGAATAATAAAGGTGACAAGGACAAAATAAGCAATGTTAGCTGCTTTTGGGAGTGGGGCAAAATGTCAGTATAAAAAGAATGAGCGACAAAAAACATCAAATGCTTTAGAAAGTAGAAAGGTAAGAAACAAATTGCTTGGGGGTGTGGTGCTTGAAAGAAAGAGGAGAAAGTGGAATGGCAGGTGAAGAGAGAATATGTGATAAACCTGTAGCCAGAGGTCTTTAGTCAAAAAAGTTTAGTTAAAGCTAGAACTTCAGTAGAAGTAGAAAATTTTTATCAATTTCCTTGAGGAAAAAAATCTAGGATTATATGACAAGGTAACATTTGTGAGATCTTGGCATTTTACTAAATTGAAACTTTGGTTAAGGGAAAAAAAAAGGCTTCGTGATTTTTTTCCCCCTAGTTCAGCCCAAACTTCTAGTATCCAGTCCAGTACTTGAGTTCTTTTAAAAAATGAAAATCACGCCTTTGGAGAGGTGGAATAAGTTATTCTAAATGTATTTATGGTTGCAGACAGCATATGTGAACCAATTCAAATTTACTGTCTGAGATCTTCAAATTACCCTGGCATTCAAAAACACAAAGGCCTGGAATTACCCTGTAGTTATTCTCCAATTGTCATGTGCTGGCAAAGGAAAGGTTAACAGCATTGTTGATTTCTAAACAGGCAAGGACAGAACTATGAAAAAACCTTTCCTCAATTTGCCTGTCATTTAAATCCCAAAGTATGTTAGCCATTAAAATAAAAACTAGTGTGGTCTCCCTTTTCATTGGCATACATTTTAAAATGTTTTCTTTCTAGAGGGTTATGAGCATATGTAGCTATTATTTATTATAGATTTTTATAATTTAAGGAATAGTTTAACTTAAGAAAATGTTTTCTATTTCTTTATAAACATCATTTTATTTTCAAAAACATGAATGCTATAGTCACTTAGGGGAAACGACTGTGTCCTTCGTGTGTGAATATGCTGCTGACCACTACCAGCAGGGCATGGGCTTTGAGTCATTTTTCTAGTAGAGGAGATGTATTTGCATTGATTCATCCATATGCTCTCCCCTGGCTTCCTTATGTGCATTTTTGAGATAAATGGACAAAGTTGAAGGTACAGTCTGTGGCCACAAAAAAGAAGACAGTTTACTGGTCTATACACAGACTCATAACCTTGACCTCATTAGCACCATTCTATATGAGCTCATCCATTCTCACTCACAGACAGGACAACCATACTTTGAGGTAGAAAGGGATTTGGCCCCTGATTTGGATATCTTGTCTTCTGGAAATCAAAATAAGCGTTAGCAGATTTTGGAAATGAGATTGATAAAGAATAACAAAGACAAAAACAAGAACTTACATTTACTTAACACTTTATGGTTTGGGGATTCATTGATTTATAGCTGAGTTTACAAAGCACTCTCTACCCACCACTTTGAGTCTGAGAGCAGAGGCAATAGGGTATGTCATATGTGGTACCGTGGAAAGCCTATTACACTGGGAGCCAAAGAACCTGTGTTCAAATTTCAGCCTGCCTACTTATTCTGCATAGGTCCTTGAGCAAGTAATTCAACATCAGTAAGCCCCAATTTCTGTATGAATAAATAAAAAAAAATATTAAGCACTTACTGTATGGTACGTACCTGTCTGATTCAGACTAATTCTGACAGGTAAAAAAAAAAAGGTTCTGAATGACTGAAAATGAATATTTTTAAATTGGGCAAAAGTCAAACTAATTTCATTGGTTAAAAATTTCTCCAATTAGTTTGAGCTGACTTTAAAAAGTATGGTGAAGTGAAAAGAGATCTGATTTTAGATCAGGCGTTATCAGTTCACATAGCAGCTCTGCTATTTGCTAATCCTGTGGGAGTGACATAACTCCTCTGGACCTCAGTTTTCCATGGGTAAAATGACAGAGTTGGACTCTTGACTTCTTAGGGCCCTTTCGGCTTCAAATCTATCATCCTATTATTCCTATGAAACTAATTTTTACTAATTCTGGCTGGTTCCTGAATGCAACAAGGCAGTTCCTAAGTTAAGTTCTGGGCAAATGTTGCACCAGTTCATCTGGTTTCAACATTTTCTGAATGATCCTAATTAGTTCTGAACAATTATTATTGGGTCAGATTGGTTTTATTGGTTCTCACTTGTTCAAATCTTTTTTTTTTCAAACTAACAATGACTAGCTCTTATAATTGTTAGCCAGTTCTGACTTTTCTAAACTAGTTCCCACAAGTTCTGACAACTTTGATTTGCCACAAGGTATAAATGAAAAGATTGTGTTTGTCCTTATCAAAGGTTACATTAACCAAGAGTTCAAAGTTATTTAGGGAGAAATACTTGGGAATACTTTAGAAAAAAAAATGAAATAATGGAGAAAATAGAATAATTCCTTATGTGTAACCCAACTGATCTAGAGGATTGTTTATGGTTTTAGAAACTGGCAACTGGATTCAGCATACACTTTATTTCATATATATCTTAAAAAATGAACTGCTTTGTTTCCAAGGAAGTAAACTAAGCAGTAATTTGGACCTTCGCTTTTTTAAAACTAAATTTTAAAATGTTTATCCCACAAACATTATTTTTAAGAATTGGAGGTCTAAACAAAACTTGTCCTTATTTAGTCTAATACTCTTCCTCAGTCACATGTGAAAGTGTGCTTTACTACACAGAGAACTGACTTCAAATCCAGGAAGGCCAGTCTGACCCTTTGCAAGGTACCTTGCCATTAATTCTCCTGAGTGCTACAGGACCCAGATTAAAAGTAATTGGGACATATTTAACAAGGTAAATAAACATAATAAAACATAGGTAATGTTAATATGTGATTTCCTAAATTGCCCACAAGGATCCTTATTTACAGTTTAGCACCCTAGTTCTGTTTGAGTTTTTCACACCTTAGCCATAGGTCCCTTTAACACTCTAAGTAGCAGAAGAAGATGCCAGTCTACAATGAGAGAGGGAATTTCCTCACCTCGGAGTTCCCAGTACCAAAGGAATAGTAGTTCTATTCTCTATGCCTAAGTAGACCGCCAGAGCAAGGAGGAAAGGTGGTACCTATACCTCGTATTACCTTTAGAGTTGTCCTAGACATAATGAATATTCAACATTCAAGTCCACAGTTTCCCTTGAGCATGTTTTTAAAAAGCAATTTTCCTGGTTTTGAAAGTGCTGTGGCTTATTCCGTTTTCATTCTTTTTAATTAGCCTGCTCTTCTAAGACTCAGCATAAGGTGTTGGTGACCGAAAGCAGCAAAAACAAAATGGCTTCCACCACAAGCAAATCTATTTATCTGCTCCCAGAGGGCTCTCAGCTATGTTTGGCTGGTTAGCTCCCTGAGTGGAACTGGGTGGGATTAAGCTTTGTGTGCTAAGTGAAAAGGCCAATTTGCCAGGTATCCCAGTGCTTCTGAGTAAAGGATATCCCATCAACCACAAGCAGCTGGTAAACAGTCCAAATGACTAGAGAATACAGAAGATACCCCGCAGGGAGGAAATTCATTTCTTGTCCACATTCATGAGGTTCTGTTACTAATACAACAATCAAGAAGAATGAGCCAGATGATTTTCTTGGTAATCGTGTTTGTGCACATGGGGAAAGAGCTAGCCATGTGGGTCAATATATAAGGCTAAGATTGCTCTGTTTGCAGTTGGAAAATAGGGCATATCATTGCCTTCTTCTCATCTCTGGCTTTCAATACCATTCTATGTTTTCACCGTAGTCTTTTTTTATTTTTTCCAAAAGAGGGAGCAAGCTGATGGAATACAAGAGAATGCTTGATAGTTGTGACTGAAGACAAAGAAGACTGCCTATTTATGAATCCAGTCATAACCTGTAATTTGTAATTGCTGGAAATACAATTAGCATTAACAATATGAAAGTCTTATGGGCTTAATGCCATTAAAATATCAAGAGTTAGAAGGAATTCATGTAGGACTGTAAGCATCCCATTCAGTCATTCACTGTATATGTTTTCCTTCTTCCTACCACATGAAAAATTTGTCCCTTCTCCCTATAACTCTCATTTGCCCATGCCACCATCATGAAGGAATCTTATCACATATGTTTTTAAAAAATAATTACAGAATTTTACTTATTCAGTAAAATCTGGTTTAAATGATAGTAGTCCCTGTTTAATTTGTGTGTCTGTGTATATGTAATATGTACACATTACATATATGCATGTATGCATATATGTATGCATATGCACACATTCATCCATACATGTTTATGC